GCAAGGCACTACTTGTTACTTTGCTCATTTAAAATTCAGCCCCTACTGGTCAGACTTCATCGTTGAGACAAGCTAGTGCTGCTTTCAGAAAGGAATTACCACTCTTGGAGCAGGGTTTGAAACACTTTATGAGCTAGATGAGCAAATCGGGGTCCATCAGAAATCTTTTAAACTACTGAGAAACTTGTGAAGTCACTACACCAGCACTGCTTGGGTAGGAAGAGCTCAGGTGTGAGATCAGCTCAGAACAGGAGGCTGCCATTCTCTCCTGCAGGTGGGGAGACATAAAGAAGCACAGTGAGGAGAACCAGATAAATTGGAAGGAAAGATTAAATCAATAATAGGGGGAAAACTTTACCAAAGTGATTATCTAGATAAAAAGCTGGTCTCAAAGGACCTGAGGCTTGACACATGAAAAATTAATGGGAGGAAGCAGTAACAAATAGTTTTCTAGAAGTGATGTTTTATTGGAGGGAGGATGGATAAGGTATTTACCAAGCATTTAATTAGGTTATGTCCAACATCATTATGAAGTAGGTGAATGTGTGGATTGATTCATCTGGTTAGGGATTTTGTAAATAAAAAGGAACAAATTTAGCTGGAACAAAACAGAATGGTTAGGTAGGAAAATTTCATGCCCTGTAAAAAATATTCTGGGCCAGAATATTGATAATACATCTAATCACTAATGCTCATCTTCTACAGTGATATTTGTACTTTACAGGAAAAATAAAAAACACTTAAGTTTGCAGTGCAATACTTTGTGAAAAGAAACCAAAGTCTATTTAATCTCAGAGAAATAGGAAGCTGTATCTAATACTGCCTTATTTTCTTCTATTTCCTTTTTTTTGTGCAAGTTAACATAAGCCAGAGTAGTTTATCTGATTTTATCTATTGGATATAATTGAGTTGATGTTTCTGTGTTGTACTATGTATCTCTGCTTTGCAGGTTCAGTTGAACTTTCAGGATTTTACAGCCTTTTGCCAGTTCTCCAGTCTTCAGAGTACGAGGAAAACTTTGTGATAATGGTTTCACATTGAGCTTGCAGACCTTAATAATAAATATTTTTGGTTGATATTACCTGAAACTACCAGTTACATCATACCAGCAGTTAGCTGGTTTATGTGCAGTGAAACTGTATGATTAAAGCTCACTGAATTCCAGGCTGCAAGGAGCTGGTAAGTGTTTGTACCACTGCAACCTGTAGTTTTCACTGCACTGAAAGTGTGTTAATTGTTTTGCATAGTGTAAGAAATAAAATGTTTCTCAGATGCAGTGCAGCTGCTGAGGAAGGTATAAAAAAGAACAGCTCAGGTTCCTATTTTTAGTGATACGAAGCAGATAAGTCCCTACAGGGATTGAGAGCTACTCTATATAGTGGAACCTGCTATGTCAGGAATTGAGACTGTGCGAGTGAATTAAGCAATAAACAAGTCTGTGCATGTGACATTTCATTTCTGGGTTGCTGTGGAAAATAATGTACAAGCTGCTCACAAGTGCATTGATTCTGTTGCTGGCTTGGCTGTGACCTGTTTCATAGTAAAACCGGTGCACAAAGTTTCTGGAACTCATCCTTCATAGCACACAAACCAAAGCAAAAGCTTTTTTCCTCTTAACTACACTAGAAGAAAGTAGATCCCTTTAGCTGATATGCAGTAACTGCTGGGTTGAATCTGGATTGGTTTAGATAATATGTATAGCTAATTGAGCTTGTGTGTAATATCTGAACATATAGAACAAGCACATTCTCCTCCACACTTGCAAAAATGGAAGAAATTTGCAGCCTTGGGTCTATGTCTGGCATCTTCCAAGGTGTATTTGAACTTAGTTGCTGGTTGTAGAACTTTTTTCCCCCGTCTTGCCCCCCTTAGTTACATGTGAAGGAAAACATCTGTCCTAGAGACAACATTCACGCCAGAAATGGACAGAGTGGAAACGAAGTGGAGAAGAGCAGAGTAACAGGAGTAAGTTCACTTCAGTAAAAAACTGAAAAAGCAACATAAAATCATATTCATGAACAAGTGCAGACCCAAGCTGGTACCACTGGCAACTCAGGCTGGTTTGACAGTGCCAAGTGGCTCCTGCCATCTGCCATCAGGGACCTGGCCTGGTGAATTTTGTTTCCCTGGGAAAAGGGCTGTTGTTGCTTGTCCAGGGCCTGTGGCCTGGTGTGGCTGGCTGTCTCCTGAAATTCTGCATTGTGCAGGATGCCTCCCAAACCCAAGCTGCCATCATCGCCATCTTTGGTGAATTTGGTGTATCCTGTGCTGTAAAATGCACATGCCTTCATTTTTAGCGGTACCAAAATTTTCTGCTGGGCCTTGGTTTTAATTCATGGCTTGGATAATGAGTTTTGGAGGTTTGTGGACTTGGCCAAAATGCTTTTAACATCTGCATGAGAACCACAGGGCCAGGAGAGTATGGGGGGCTGCAGTGCTCCAGGATCCTGCCTCTGCTTTCATCAGGACCCCTCGTTCTGGTCTGTGTCTGTGCTGGGTCATTGCTCTATTTCTGAGTTTGAGAGAGATCCCTGTTTTCTGTGATACCGAGCAAAGGGTGCAGAGTTTTTGTGCTTTGAAATGCTGCTGGAATTTTAGAGCCCAGATGAAAGCTTTTAACATCTGCCAAGATACAAAGCTCCTGTTCATGCTATTGAAAAATCTTCTGTTAACAGCAGCTGTTAGTAGGCATAACTTCTCTGCATACCTCAAAGCATATTAGCAAGTAATTAGAAAAATTGTTGCAGGATTCAAGAAAAAAGGCTACTGGAGATGTGTCACAATAGGAAATCTCTTTGTCCATCTGCTGGGATGTGACAAGAAAATGTATTTCAAATAATATGTACTGTGGCAGTGCTGGATGTCAAAGTGTTTAAAAACACATTAATGGTCTCTCAGATGTGACATATTTAGCAGGACTTAATAATAACAAAAACTTGGATTTAATGATTTTTAGACATCACATAAGGTGGCTGAATCAAGCAAGAAAATTCCTTAGAAGATAAGAAGATACGTTTTCTTTCAGTTTTGAATGAGGTTTTTCCTTTGTTCTCTGGTTCTACCGTTTGTTATCCATTATTGCTGCCTTCCTGAACATGTGAGGACCAGTGAAATCTATCAGAATATCAGAAGGAAGGCACAATGCAGCTATCACCAGCTACCACATCCATCACCGTTTGTCTTCAGTGCTGTGACTGAACAAAACTTGTTCTATGTCTCTCCAGTACTGTTAAAATTTTAACACTCTTTTACCTTGCAGCTAACTGATCAGTGTACATATCTCATTTAGTAAGATAACCATTCTGTCCAAGCTGCAGTAGTATTTGGCACTATGTAGAAAATCCTTATGAATTTGTTTTGGTATTTATAATATTAGCCATGAGTTGATTTGATATTAGAAGAAATATCTGTGATGCTCAGCTGTGGCAGAAGTCGCTTCTGTATCTGTTAAAATGTTATGTCTTTTGTTACAAAAGCATTTTGTTTCAGGAGGCTCACATGCACAAAGGCAGAGAATTCCAGTTGCAGCAGATAAGCTAACTTATTGTGACTCTTGTCGAAGGGGAGAATTGACAGTGAAAAATTTAATACATTTCAGCAGCACTGGGTCAGAATATTTAGACAGAATACATAGGATATATAGAGAATTAACAGTGTTCATCTAATCTATTCTTACACCTCAGCTCCCTGGGCATGCTGGTACCCCAGTAGCTTCTATTGCTGCCTGTCTTTGGCAGAGAGAGCACATCCTCTTGGAAGAAAGTCTGCTGTAATTCTTCTTCATTGTAGTCTCCTTACCTTGCCTTGGACATTATTTCCATCTCTCTTCACTAGGTGGATCAGTGGAGTGTGTCCTCTGGTGCTGTTGCTTGGTTTATATTTCCCTTGCAGGCAGTCACAGCTGGCTGCGGGCTGGAGTTTTAAACCTGTTGCACATGCTTTGCAGCTCCCTGCAAGATCACCTGTGTGACTGAGCTCACACTGGCCTGGCAGATGATAATGCCTGTCATATACTTAATTATAGATATAGGTTTGGGGGAAAGCAATAGGATGCTGGTGTAAATTTCCAGATTAAATTTTGAAGGAAGCACTCTAGGAACAGATATGCAACACTTAGTGCATTGGAAAAAACTCTCAAACTCTTTATAAACTTATTTACTTAAGTCTGTATTTTGCTAGGAAATAGTTCTAGGAAGTAAAAATAACTTTGGCATTGACTGAAGGGCAGCATTCCTGTTATATGATTTTTCTGGAGCAGAAGCTTACTGGTGTTCATGGCTCAGGGTTGGGCATGAAGCACAAGAGGAGGAGATCCCCTCCTCAGCAGTCAAGGTCCTGAGGGGAGTTGTAAAACTACAACATGGGAGAGAATGATGTCCTGGGAGCTCAGAGGAAGGCCCACGAGGGATTTGAGGGGGAATTTCAAGGCATCCCCTCCTGATTAATGACAGCCAGCATGCCCACCCTGCCCCATGGACAGCCTGCCTGCCCTTGGTGGGGGGATCTGGTAAAGTGCATCCCATTCCCTGTGGAGCCAGTGTTGGAGAGGGAATCGCTGCTGGAGATGGGCCAAGGTCTGGCTCTGAGTGTTTATGCATCTTCTCAGCTTTCATTGTTTCTCTGCTGATTGCTTCCGTATATACAAAATCTGACAAATAATTGTAGTTTGAAGGGCGTGCTTAATGGAGGGCCATAAAAGTGATTCACAGGCAACTGTAAACTGAACTATTACACTAAAGGATAAAAAGCTTCCTTAATGAGCTGTACAAGACAGTTATCGATGTATTTATGAAAACATTTCCAAGTACATGTTACCAGGGGAATTAAAAGATAAATATTTAAAGATCGGCTGACAGTTTTCACATGTAGCAGAACTCCAGTTCCTCTATTAGGTAGTAAATTTATAAAAGGTATATATTTACTTGATTTGTAACAAAAAAGAAACAAAGCTTGCATTAAACCCTGATGTTTTTTCTCTGTAATTGTGTTTTTCTATTCAGATGAAGAGATGAAGCATGAAGAAAATGGGTGGATGAGATTCAGAATATTAATAAGGTAAACCAACATTTTTCCCATCCAAATAATTTATTAGCATCCTGCCACAGAACTGTATTTAAGAGAATGAAACCTAACAACAGTTCAGAGTTTGATTAAGTTTCTCTTCATCCTATCATTGCTGTACACAATTAGGTTATTCAAGTGTGATCCTTAAACGTTCCCAATATGATTCATAGCCTTGTTCTTCACACCCCAGAGAGAGAAAAATTGGTCTGTGGGCATGAATCTTATTAATATATGGATCAATGCATGCCCTTTTAATGTTTATTATACACATGCACTTTTAGTTTGGCTAAATGATTATCTCATTGTGTTACTTGCTCTTTTTAGATGTGCTGTGTTATTGTGAGCAAATATTTAGAAGCATTTTAAGCATTTAGGGCTGACTCGTGGTTTGGCACTACCTTGTCAGTTGAGATTACTTTTATTCTTGAATGGATTAATAGTCAATAGGTGTTAAACAATAAGATTTTCCTTTGGACTACAACTGCTGTGTTGTGCAGATCTGACATAAAGAATGAAGATCTGGCTCATGATTTCAAGCCAGCTTTGAAGTTTTTTCAGATATACCTATTTCTGAGGTTCATTGCCCCAAAAGGTTTATAGATGGAGGCCATGCCAGTAGCTGTGACTCCTTGAAAAGGAGGGGTGACAAGGCAGGCAGTGCAGAACATTGTCCCCAGCCTTGGTCCTGCTCAGGGGAAAGCTGCTGGCAGTGCTGAGCTGTGGTAGCAGGAGTGTTTCTGTCCTGGGGCTCCCTCCTACAGCCTCAAGAAGGTTGGGGTGAAGCTGAATTTAGCCCCAGGTGATGATGCTCACCACCTTAATAGTAACAATAATGATAATCTTAACCAACTTACAAATACAAAAATTAGAATGATTTCTACTAGGACAAAATAGAATATTATCACTTACAAAAACACTGAGGAGGTAACTTGGCTAAAAGCATTGATTAACTTCACAGATGCCAAGGAATCATTTAGTAGCCTCCTCTAGGACTTATGGATCTTTCAAAGTGTAGCGCATGAAATAATTTAAAACTTTTTCTAACTTTCTGATGGGACACTAGGATTTGGTTTTTTCTTTTTGTCTATTGACATTATTTGATCACTTTAAACTTTGGTTTTGTGAGTGACTCTTGTATTCCACTTGCTCTATTAGGATGCAGTTGTTCTAGTCCATGAGAGTCACTGGCCTCAGAACAAAAGGTGATTTGTGGATTAGGGATTCTATGGAAAGCTAGTGATGATTGGTTTGTTTCTACAAGGGAATGTGAGGGATAGAGAGTAGAATCAGAATTCTAAACAATTAGTGATAGTGGTGGAAGCACAGGAACACACTCAAGCCTGGGGAAGATTTTCAGTCTGGCTCTGCACACCATGTGTCTGACTCTTTGGGTGGAACAGCCTGTATTAATTACGTTTTTAATCTCTCTTGTACCAAATTGCCAGCAGTTGAGAGAGAGAAACCCATTGATCAAAAGCAGAGTATTATTTCAAGCATAATAATAATTTGTAAACCCAGTAGTTGTACAACAGCTGTTGCATCATCTCCATTGCAAGCAGATTGTTGTGCATTTCATAGCACAAGTAAGGCTTCATTTCCGTGGCTATTGGGAAAGCACTTATGGATTTGATTTCTTGGTACGTATGCACAATTAAAGCTTGAAGAATTTGATTTAAATACAGCTTATAGATTGTGCACTTCAACCTGGGCAGCCTTCCCTCGTGCCCCTGTTGTTATGACATGTGCTCTGCACTGAAGCTGCTGCTGCAGCCCCCTGCTCAGCTGAGATGCTTGTTGAGATCAGCTGGTGGAGGTGCCTCTGCCTCCATCTGGAGAACTGAGGCATTTCACATGCAGGGAGGCTCACAGCAACAAATCTGCAGGTAAGAAGGGAGGAATTCCTGAAAGATTCCCTGAGGCTGCCAAACTGTGTTACACCCCCTCTATTCACTGCTTTGCCTGGTGCCTTTGCACATTGTTACTGTCAGGACATGGAGGACCCTGTGCTTCAGATACCTGGATAACATTGGACTCTCATCCGTATTGGTTTCAGGAAATACAGTGTGTGCATTTTTTAGCAGACTCAGGCACATCTTAACTCAAAATTTGCACTGTAGGGAGGAGTTTTTTACCCTGCAGCTACTCAAAGTGTCACAGATAGCTGTATTGCCCCACCAATGTGATCCTTGTTTCGTCCTGCAGGCTGGAGCAGCACGCTGCTCATGGGGCAGAGTTTGTACAGTGCTGAAACCTGCACAGAGCATTCCTTTCCCTGAGCAGCCCCCAGCCCTAGCTGAGGATACACAACACTGGGATGCACTCAGGTTTATGGGGTTCCCAAATCACCCAGGGCAGCACACACAGCCAGGCAGATCCATCAGAGCAGTTACCCTGGCAACTACCACATGAGATTTTCCTTGCTAGGAATGAACACAGGAGCTAAATTTGTCATGTGCTACGTCACACACAGTGAATTCCTCAGATGGAAGCACGTGCAGGCAGGAGAGCTGACACCTTTTGCAGTGTGATGTGTAGGTGCACAGTTTGTGGTGATTGGGAGTGGGGCCCAGCCTCATCCCCCGTGGGCAGAGCTGTGAGCAGCAGGTGAGCAGCACTGACCAATGAGCCATGGAGTGCCCAGGGGCACTGCCCAACCACCAAAGGGAGCAGAGGGCACACAGGGGCAGTGCATCAACAGGAGGGGATAAAACGCTGGGCTGAAGAATAAGAAGGGCAGATACTTGCAGCCTCCTGAAGGGCCATGATTTTACTCTGTATGGGCAGGTGCTTGTAGCCTTTTGAAGTGGTCTGGTGTTACTGTGCATGGTTTGAAGCCTTCTGAAACTGTATGGAGATGCTCTGTGTATGGTGGCCATCTCAGCTGTGACAGTGATGGGGTGAGTCCATGCCAACAGCAGTGCTGTGCTCAGAGTTTAAGTTCAAGAGTGTGTTGCCTAAAGCTGGTCTGTGTGGTGTTAAATGCATAACCAGTGTTTTTTGGAGGAGTTCAACAACGATGAACATAAGTTAAACTCTCTTGCCCACACCTCTTTAGTTAAAGATGCCTTCTTGAACTTTATTAGTAGAATAATGAAACCTTACAGTTCCTGGAGAATTCTCTTCAAGCTTGCATGGTGGGGACTGGATTTGCTCAAGCCGCTGACATTTTTACAGCCTCACATAAACAGAAGAGTGTCTGCCCATTGTGGGTTTTCAAAGATATTCCTGAATAGGGCGCAGGAATATCTTGCACTTTCCCCCCTCCTCCTCCTCTCCATTCTGGGGCAGCTGTAACTCCCAGGAGCATGAATGGTGGTTTGAGGTGAGGAAGGGTTTGATTAATGCTGACAGATGGCACAACCACAGCTCTTGGGACCTGACCTCCCCTGAAGTGCTTTGGTGGGTGTGCCTGCTCCTTACCACTGCCTCTCATGCTCCATGGCACTACAAATCCCCTTCCTGAGGGTCTCAGCATTCACAGTTCTGTTGTTTGAGTGCTGATTTTACAGAACTATGGTAGGGCTCATTGACAGATGTGATCAGTGAGACCTGGGTAGGAGAATCATTAAAAAGAGAAATTCTGCAATAATCTGAAGGGTTTTTTTCTGATGTAGGGTTTTTTTAGAAGCAGAAAGCTCAAAGAATGAATATTTACCAGTATCAGTTTTGCTAAGTCATTCCTCAAGTGCCAGGGTTTGGATGCAGAGATCCAGTTGTTCCATGGTCCTTAGAGCTATTAATGGTTGTAAATACCTGTTACAGATTTCAGAGAGCCATGGCAAAGCTTTCTCTTTCTTTGTATCTTTTATCCTTTTAATATTCTAATCACCTTCTTTGTCTTCCTAGTACCTGAATTTAATGTCATCCTAATTATTCTGTGTGGATTTCTCCCACATTTGGCATTTGTTATCAGTACTGGTAGTTCCATTGTTTTCAGCAGATGGAGAGCTCACCTAGAAAAGGCTGCAGAGAGGAGTCAGTGTCTAACAGAGCCAGATTCACACTTAGGTTTGTACCAGTTAGATCAGGAGAGCTGGGCAGTGATGGAGTTTTACCAAGAAATTGGGAAGGTTGAGGCTAAAATCAGAGATGCTCTAAGTAGAAAAATCCTTACATCTTCCATGGGAAGGTAGGGCTGGAAGAGGGATTCTTGGCTGACTTTCTTTGCTGAAGATCTCAGGAGTGGGGTTGCCTATATAAGGAATACTGATGAGAATAGGACAAGGAATGCTGATGTTGGGCTGTTCTTGATTAGCTGGTTTCTTTTAATAGAAGTTTGAAAAAGGTTCCCCAAAGAACAAGAGGACTCAAAAGATATTTATTTTGCTTTGTAGTTATTTTTAAATTATTTGTCTTCAAGGGGAATCTAATTCAGGAAAAGATAACCCAAGTGATTTTGCATTTTTCATTTAATGAGAACACCTTCTCGTGTGCTTTTAAAGTGCTGATGGCTTTGTTCTCCTTAAGAATCAGATCTAGAAGCAACAGCAAGGTGTGGGCACCTGGAGATGTGAAGTTGTTGTATTGTCTTTCCTGTCCTGGCACAAGCTGCTCCAGCCCAGCTTGGTTAATCCCTGATGAAGAATTCTTATGCTGCTGCTAGAATGGGAGGAAGGAGTTGTTGGGTAGGATGGGAGTGGCTGAAGCCTGTGGCATCACTGGCTAGCTAATATGCTGATTTCATAATAAAACACTGATGATAAGGCCAGAAAGTACCTTTTGCATTGCTGCCTCTGCTTCCTCTGCCTTCTTCAAGGAAACTGAGACAAATCTATAGACAAATGACAGGCACTGAAGGAAGGCTTCTGGTTGTGTAAATTCATTTTTACCAAACAAGGGGAACATGTCAGATGTTTTGCAGAGCATCTCTGGATGTGGACAGGGTTGCTCAGATGCAGCACATGATCAGGGCTGTTGCTTCCTGCTGTAATGAGCAGACTGAATACTTCAGAAGGAGATTTCTGGCTGTGCTGTGCTGTGTGTGCTCACAA